ATTGTAAGATTATAAATACAAACCTCCTTGTGTTTTATTTGGATTTGTTTGCGATAGAACAAAACAAAACACTACATAATAATGCAGTGGAACAAAGAGAATACATGGTACATATCTGAGAAAAGAACGCCACGCAATCTTACCCAGATCCCTTTACTGTGATACCCCAAATCAAATCCAAAGTAATCAACAGGCTTTAGAAGTCATCTTGTTTGTAAATCGAGTGCAAACGTGAATAATATAACATCGGTCGAAATGCAGTTGTTCTCTGGAGGCCTTAGTTGTTTGTTAGTGAACATTAGTGAACAAACAGCTTCATGAAGACCAAAGAGGACAGCTGGAACAGCTGAAAAACTAAAAGTAGCTCAACAGCTGAGAACTAAAAGACTTTTTGTTTTTTTGACATATCTGTCTGCTAAACTGAAAGAGCAGGTCCCAATCAGAGAGGTGGTCAACTGTGGAGGAGCTGCTCAGATCTACTGCTCAGGAGGGAGAATTTCTTAAACAGAGAGCAAATATTTTGGGCTTTTAGTTGGCATAAAAAGTGTAATTTATTGTTGGACACAAACCATGAATCAGACTACACAAATGTGTACCCAAATTGACAAAACATATCTTTTTTTTATTATTATTATTTTTACATTGTAGCGTTTAAGAAAATTGTGAAAAAAAATAACTCCACACACCATTTAAAAACAAGCATACATTCTTCTATCGCCACATTTCACTGTGAATTCAATTTTGTTAAATTGATGGAGATAGACAAAAAATTTTGTGTTTAATGTAAAAAGTTAGCAGAGACATACTCCAGTAGTGCAAAAGGAGGTTCTACAAAAATAAATAAATAAATAAATTACTCAATGGGACTCAAAATAAATACACAGCAAAGTTATCTCAGATCTTTTATTTTCCATTCACTTCACAGTTATCACATAAACTATATAAAGTAAACTCTGTACTTGTAACGTTGGCAAAATATTAAGCTTTGTACAGCATTATGCATAATTTTACAAGGTATTGTAATTATAGGTCACATTGTTTTATAAGATAAAACTGGCATGTATGTATCAAGATGAAAAAGCATTTGATTAAATGGTTTATCATGAAATGTAAGAGAAAGACATAAAGGAAAGAAACTCGGTCTTCAAAAGACAAAGATTTTAAAAAAAAAACATTAAGCAAAGGCCCACTTCCACAATTTAAGCTGACATCCAAACTTTTTTCCCACATTATTTTTCAGAGGCACACATTTCCCTAAAGCACGCACAAAATAGTGTCCCGTTTTACGACCAGAGCCGCACAATCCCACACCTCAACTAAGGTTAGCACATGGAAAGAAAAACACAGAGTTCTACAGCTCGATGCCAGACTCTGTGAATCCTGACAGGCACCAAAAGAGAGCTGGAAGTTTTCCTCCATGTTCTCTGTCATACTCAACCTTGGTGGGCGACACTCAAAAATGTTCAACTGACAAACGACTTCCTCATTTTCCTTAAATAGTGAGGTTTGTGCACATTTATGTGTGTCACACTCCAATATAAGCAAGACGATGACAGGTTAAACTACATGGATGTGCTAAAAGTTACCATCGGGTTAATCCCTTCAAATTAGCTACGCAGGATTCATAAAGCCGGCCACTACTTCCAGAGGAACTGAAAATGGGTAAAAGTATGTGACGCATGAAACAAATAAACCCACAAATGACTTCTGTTATTAAAGAGGTCGAAAAGCAGGGAGACAAATATTTTTACCATATGGTAGGTTTTGGGGTTCACAGCCTATTTCCAGCGGTCAGAACAATCATCAACACTCACGCACACACACGCACACACGTGCACACACACATGCGCACACACACACACACACACACACACACACACACTCCAATTTAGAGAGACTATTTACCTTCACACTTATGTTTCTGCTCTGTGGGAAAAAGTCAGAGTACCCAGTGAAAGCCCATACATACACTTGGAGAAAATGCAAAGTTCACCCAAAAACACCCGTGATCGGGATTTGAACCATTGATTTTCTCATGTATGAAATCCAATTAGTCTTTATATTTAAATCATTGCAAATTTTAACCTACAGACCATTGTAGTTTTTTTTTTGTTTGTTTGTTTTTTTTAAACCTACCTTGACATTATTGGTCTTTTGACCTGATTTTCAAGTTCTGCCAAAGCAGAATACTGAAATAAAATTCACTTCTTACATTTGGCTTTGGGGTGTCCAACCAGAACTATTAGTACCTGGCCAACCCCATATGTCCCACAGCTGCCCAGCCCTTCTGAAACCTTTGCCATGTGCCCTTGCTTGCACCTAAGACTATCTGGAGCTTAAAAAAAATTAGAGATCAAGCTTGGAAACAAAAAATGCAAATTATCTCAACTTTTCTTGGTCAGCAACTTCATCGACAGGTGCGTTACGTTCCCACCTGACTGAGCAACGCTGTGTTTACACAGCTGGTCTGAGTAAACAGGGAACGTTGCCGGGTCAGGGTGACCACAGCTGCTTGGTGAATTTATAGTGTCTGCTGGAGCAGATATATTATTATAAATGTGGTTTTGATCTGAATTTACAGTTTACAATCCTTCACATTTCCTTCTTGATTTGCTAAAGTTACAGTCTGAAAAAGTAAGGCAAGTGTCGTAAACTCCATGTTCAAAATGTTTGGCTCACATCAGTAACAGGGGAAAAGATGTAAATTAGAAGCTGGACCCCAGAAAGAGTGTTTTCTTTTATTGGTAAATGGAACACATGAGCAAAAATAATGTTGTTCAACTTCAAAATGTAATGTTGTCATTGCAAATATTCTAAAGACAGAAACAATGTTTTCAGAACCACTGGCTTGTGGATGGATTTACATAGTATAGGCTGAAAACAGGAAGTTTAGAAGGGTGGTTTCAACTGTTCTTAAAAGCAAAACTCAGGGTAGAGAAGAACATGGCAGCTGAAAGCAACGGTAGCGTCCCTGGTCATCAGTAATCCGCAGACTGGAAAAATGCACCTGTTAGAAATGTAAAAGCTTTGTGAATTCATTTTAAGAATATGTGAGTCACCTGATAACGCTGCAGGCTTTTATTTTGAAGATCAAGGTGGGTTGCACTCTCAAGTGTCCAATCGATCAACTGGAGTTTCTCCAGAGTTCTTGGAGAAACTCTGTATGTCTAAGTGTGTGTCTTGTGAATAGGACTTTGTCATCTTTACTGCTGGCACCACATGCAGACTGGTTTTACCAATGTTCCGTTGTTGATTCAGAAACTGCTGCTTTTGCATCCTGGATGATTGTGCAGAAAGCTCTACTTCTGCTTCCGGGTTGACTCGGAGTTAAAGATGTACCACTATACAGCCGCGCATCTGTTTGCAGCCAAGTGTATAAAGTGACAGTGTAAACACTGAGTTGGAGGTCGGAGGCCAGCATTTGCATGAACCTGTCAATTCATTCTGAAAGGAGCTCAAAAAGAGGCAGAGCTGAGCAGGTGAAATCTCAATATCTGACAATGATTTTGTGTAAAAATGTATTTAATAAACATGTTTTGCATAGCCTACAGACTAAAACAACTAAACTAACTAAAACAAAGCATATTAGGTGCCTTTCCAAATGAAATGCATGAATTTCTACAGTGGCTGTAGAACCACAGCAAGCGTTATCCTTCTGATATGTCACTGAACTAAAATTGAAAACCAGGAGTTATTCACAGGTACCTGTGGTCCCTAACCCCCACAAACACCAAGTCTCCAGTGTATTTGGTAAATGCCAGAATAATGAGTAGATTTCTTTCTGAATTTTTCAATATACTTTCTTCTTTTCTTTCTATTTAGTAGACTAGCTGTATGCTGAGGGTCATTGTCTATTTAGAAGACTTGATTGTTTCCAAGCTTTAACTGTGTGATGTCTTGAGATGTTACGACTGTATTTTCACATAATCTTCTTTCCATACATGCTGGGTAGTGCAAAAATCATCTCCTTATGTGCACTTTTTTCATAGACACAAACTTTTGTATCTGAAAAATATGTTTTTTTTTTTTTGTCTCGCTGCCCCAACCATTCTGTATTTTTTCCCTGAGTGTGAACGCTGCATGACAATAACTCTTTGTTTCATGCCTCTGTAGGTGATATAATTCAGTCCTCTCCAAGTAATGGAAGTAAGCAAGTTGGCTGAATTCTTTGTTATTTCCTTACACCTTTTAGAAAGTGCTTGTTTGCTTTTACAACTGGCTCCGTGGGAAGCAGGGGAGGGGCGGTGCAGATGGATTTGGGCTTCGTTATTTTTTCTCTGCCTTTGTAACAGCTCATTTAAAATCACAAGAGCCTGAAGTCCAAGACAGATGGGGCCTACTTAAGAAAGAGTCAATGTCTAATTCAAGTAAAATACTTCCTAATATGAGGTAACTCGACACCTTTGTGAAAACGCTTTGGGCACTCCGATTGAAAAGTTTTTGAGCTCAGTTGACCAGTTTTGGATATCTGTTGCACTTAACATAAAATCCTGAACAACTGCACACGATCTCTAATCCTTTATGCAGCATCAGCAAATATGTCCAGATTTAAGTATGCATAAGTAACATTGGATATTGACTGAACTACACTGGCTTCACAATCTAAGCTCACTGTGAAATTGCTTAAGCTTGGTTTAAAAGTATTCATGCAAAGTCATATATCACAAGCTCGCAGCTCACCTTATCTGTGCTGCTGCTACACTTTCACATGAAGCCGTGCCCGTTCACATCAAAAGAAATGTTTAAAAGTCCCTTAAGCTCCCTTTGAAGGGTCACATTTAGATCCTCCTGAAAATAAACAGCTGGGTCATGGAAGGTATTGTGGGAAAAGCAAGTTGATACGATGATTCAAACAGTCTGTCAGAGTTGTTTATTCAAATTTATCCAGAATGCCACTTTGAATTTTTCTTTTTTATTTTTTAAAGAGAACTTGTTCGGAGGTTGCTCGTTTGCTTGTAGCATCATTAGAAAAAAATAATAATAATCAAACAGCAAGAATCTCAGAGGTAATTTAACTTTATTTTTTTTATTTTTTTTTTAGAAAAAAAAAAAGGTTTATCACGCAAGGCAACAAAGAGGAAAACAAAATGCAAACTGCTATGAACAGACCACAGAAACCCCCACATCCCCATTCACCTCGGTTCACCCACCCACTGGCAGTGAAGGGGGCGGGGGGGCTCTCATTATAACCAAATCAAAGGAGCGGGAGAACAAGAGTCGCATTGTTCTGATTGTGTTTACTTACACTAAAAACATTAAAAACGGACAATCTGACTGTGCAGCATAAGACGGACAGTTTTGATTTCTCACATGAATCCAAACACGGAACCTTGGAGTAGGATTTTTTTTTCTTTTCTTTTTTTTTTTTTTTTTTTTACATTTAGTCGACAGCAGTACTAACAAAACAGGAAGGTTCATGACTCCGCAATACATTGGACATATCACTTTAAGACAGACTATACAGGTTGCAATGGGCACTTTCTGGGGGAAAATAAAATAAAGATCCCATCCATGTTCTTTTTTTTTCTTAAGTAACATCAACCCTGTGTGTTGAGGTAAGCAGGCCGCAGGGGAATATGAAGGAAGCGATTCCCTTTAAAAAAAAAAAAAGGAGTCCCTTAACCATATCCCCACTCACTTTGTAATTCGTCTTGACAGTAAATCAATTCTCGAGCCTGGCCCCTTGGACTCCTCCGACACTAGGTCCTCCTCTCTCGGCATTCCTGCACACATGAATCAACTCCTGGCTTCTTGAAGGCATTTCCTGCCCGACCCTCTCTCTTTCTCCCTTTCTCCCTGTCTGACTCCTCTGCTGAAAGCTGGGCAGGAACTCTGTTAAGCTTTGATTTTGGACCCAGAGAGGAGGAGGGGGAGGAGGGCAGGGAGAAAAGGAGAAGAACTCGACCTAATGCAGAGCTCTGGCTCTGCGATCATTCCAAGGCGGGATGGGATGGAGACCAGGGGTGTGTGAAGAAGATGCCTGCACACCCAAGCCAGGATTTAGTGCTTTATCCTTCAAATTGCAATATGAGTTTCTGCCCTGTTAGGATTTAAATGTGCATTCTCTCTAAGACAGATATTCCACGTTTCCGTTGTGGGAACAATGAACAGTGAATGTTGTCACAGGTTTTTATGAAAATAAAATAAAATAATAAAAAACAAAACAAAAACAAAAAAAGATTTAGCTTCCAGAACAAAGACTGATAATATTTGAATATTTTATGGAAAAATGTACAGAATGGAGGCTCATTGAAGCTGTACATCTGCTAATGCTTCCCTCTACAAATCATCTTTGATGCTAAATCCACAGTATATGTACATAAAGGTCTGTTGAGCAAGACTCCAGGTGACCAAAGCGGCTCTTAAAAAGAAAGATCTAAAGTGTCTTCATATTTACAACCAAGGAAACATACATATTTTACAGCGATCACAACACAAAGACCACAAACAGAGTCTTAACAGTTTAGGATGAGTGAGGCTGCAGCTGAGTGAGAAGAGGTCATATGTTGTGACAGAGCTGGTCTACCGTGCGATGTCTGACGTGTATGCAAGCGTGCAAGTGTGGATGTTTGTGATCGTTGTGAGCGGGTGATATCAACGCCATCCATTCCCTCAGATCATGGCTCTTATCACCAGTCTCCCTTTGACCTGGTGGAGATAGGTGCTCTGTTCGGATTCTAGGCGCCGATTAGTCAGAGCCTCATCCTCGCTATCAGCCGGCTCCTCTTTGACCTTGATGACCCCGCAGTGAGCGTCTGGGAGCTCGCCGCTCGAGCTGCCACTGCTGCTGCTGCTTAGCGTGTGCTTCCGAATGACTCCTCCAGGGGGCAGCCTGTCCTCCTGCATGCACTCCATCTCCTCTCTGGGCTGCTGCTCCTCCTGCTCCTCCTCTGATTCCTGCAGGTGTGTGCTGGGCTGACGCAACTGCTCAATGGACTTGGACAACAGCTGCAAAACACATTGGCTTGATGTTAATGCCAACATCCTGCATCCATACACATATAGTTAAATGAACCTTTTAAAGCCGCCCTATTTGTAAATGAAAGCGAAATCCAATCCCTCACAGACTTTGTAGCCACATAGAGAACTAGCCTAACATACGATGACGAAGAAGTATTTATATCCACAGAACCTTTTCACATCTGGTCACATTATAAACGCAAACTTTAATTTGTTTTATTGAAACACTGACGTAAAGAGGACGGAAGATGATACATAACCTTTTTCCTCTTGGATAAACAAAGTAATGTGGAGTCCATTTGGATTGAGCGTTCCTTACTCTGACTTTTTATAAAGACATTTCAGCTCAATCAACTGCTTACAGAAGTCTCCTAATTGGTAAATAACACTGTGTCCCAGTACAATTGGGCCTGATTAGCCATTTGGTACATATACCAGCTTTGTGGCCAAGAGTTATCAAACGTTCTGTGATGTTGACTGGACCAGAAATGTAGAATAACATCAGTATTTTCCTTCGTCTGTAATAATCAGAATGAACAGCTTGTATAGGTTTTGTTTTTATTGTCGTTTTAAGTATTAGATTTAATAACAGCAGAAGAGAGCATTTTTAATAGCGTCAGAAGATTAATACACAATTCCTTATGAAAACTGTTCAAGTCGCATAACTATAAACAATCCATAGTAACAGGGAGAAATTTAACTGTCAGGTATCAGCTTGTGTTTTTCCATTTTCTATTACCAGAAAGTAGAAATATAGTTTTATGTCATTCTTCTTTATGCTTCTATTTTAATCTGACTGTATTGTATTCAAAATAGGATCATTTAGGAATGAATGTCAGTAAAATTATCATTATGCCTGTATTAAGCTATAATATCGCATTAATCTGATTACATATTTTTTTACATAAATTTGATCTCGTTTTCTTGCAAAGTGCCTTGACAAGACATTTTGTTATTCATTTGTGCTATGTAAATAAACGGAATCGAACTGAATTATTTGCTTTCTCAGCCTTTGCAGATTGTCTACCCACAAGAGGGCTCCAAAACCAGGTTGTCTTCTTCCTGTCAGCTGGTAACCAACAGCATTGCTATCTGCAGAATCTAGGCCTTTTATAAATACCCTTTCATCAATACGAATTAGCCTCTTTAGCATTGCATTAGTGAAAACCGTTCACAACTGTTCCTAAAATCCCTAAGCTCCTGTAAATTTCCAACACAGCTCTCCCCCTCCCACCACCGCTGTTGCTAGCGTTGGAAAAATAGAAGCAATTGAAGGATGTTGAAAAACAACCGTATAAAAGCCACTGCTCGGAAATTAATTAGGGCAATGTTTCAGAGCTGCCTCTCAATAAACACTAAGGGCTCATCCCCGATTAGTGGCCATTTATAACCTCCACTTAAAGAGGATTTACTTGCAATCTCATTGGCCTGAGTGATCAGAGCTGGCCCCGTTGACATGGTTCTAAAGACGCTGTTGCTGTTATTTTCAAATGAGTCAGCGTCACAGAGAGCGTTTTAAATTCACTCTTAATCGTGTTTTTAATGCAGAAACAGTGACATGTTAAATTTCTATTGTGCTGCTCAGTAAATGCTTCTTTAAACATTTTTAGGTATGAGCTCCTCTGTGTTCCCATGGCTCTGTCAGGACCCAACCCTGGGACACATCATCTTGTGCGCTCACACAATGCTGCCTTTCACGCTGTCGGCCACCTCACACCAGAATAATGACAGTCTGTGTAAAGCCAGGTCACTACAGCCAACTCACAGAAACACAAATATTGCCACAGAGGAACAAAATGCATTCAAGGCTTCTTTTTTTTTTTCATGGGAACTAAGGTGAATTAAATTTCACAGCGTTAGCATGTGAGTAGAACAGACGCCATGAGCTACGATAGCAGAATTATTGCAGAGGAAGGATTTCTTCCTCATTTGAAGTCAGGCAGAAGTTCTTTGGTTTGCAGAAATAACAGCAGGATTTTGAAGGTGGGATAGACTATGAGCCAGGTCCACAAAGTTAAGCTGCACATATTCTCTCCAATGACTAAAAATAGAACAACATTTGTGTCCTTAAAACGATTAAGCCAAATTTCCTACAATAAACCACGACCTCATGAGAACCAAAAATGGACGCCGAATGTTAGGGGGAGCACTGTGGGAGTCATGAAACTTGATGTTTTACCTTATTTATGTGGACCTGCTGCTGGTACTGTTTCTGTTTCTCCAAGAAATGCTGGTGCTGCTGCTGGATGACGAGTTGGGCCAGTGTGTTCTGAGGCAGAGGTGCCGACTGGGTTCTGTTCAGGGGTCGGTGTTTTGGTAGCTTAGGGCGACCGCTGGAGGGGCGATCCTTCATGACCAGAGGGGACTGAGCGTGGGAGGACATGGAGCCTTGACCTTGCCGGAGAAGAAAAACACCTCGGTAAAGTTTTCTAAAAATTATGCTGTAAACACAGGTGTGCAAAACATCTGTGGTAAATCATGCATTTCATTTTGAAGGGGACGTAATGTGCTTGATTTTAAACAAGTTAGTATACGTCTACAGGCTATAGACATAATGAATGTACAACTTAAAAAATCCCAAATTTTGACTTATATTTAAAAAAAAATAATACGGATATGTTATGGCCTACACAATCATGACATGATAGTTGTCCAGTAGACAATATGCAAGGAGGGTCAACCACAAAAGGTCATCGTTGATGAAGCTGACTGAGTGCGGTATTGAAGCATATTGATGGAAAGTTGAGTGGAAAGAAAAGGTGTGCCAGAAAAAACTGCACAAGCAATAGGGATAACCGTTGCCTTGAGAGGATTATGTAGCAAAGCTCATTCAGGAGTTTAAGTTGAAAGTTCCAAGACGTAGACTACAGCTGGATATAGAGCTTCTGAGGCCACAGAAGTCAGACGTTTCGGGTCTGTTGAAGGAATTAAAGAGAACCGGGCTTCCTTATCACTTCAGCTGATGGAGTGATATATGAAATAGGAGTCCCAACTTGTGCAAAGACACAACAGGTTTTCAGTGGACCCACATCTCTATATCAGAAAAAAAAATAATAATAATAACTTCTTCTTTTTGTGGTTTAATTTAATTCTCCAATTTTCTGAGGAACCTTATTCTGGGATTGCACACGCTGTACAAACATCAAAATTAGCCATAGCTTTAAACATATTGACATGTTTTTGTTGACTATATATATTTGTCTCACATTCTGAATCGTTCAATAATATTCTAATTTATTGAACTGCACTTAAAACGTACTTTTAGGTTCTTCTCTAAGGTGTGAAGAAACTAGATGCTCACTGAAATCAAAAAACAGCCTTACCAGAAGAGATGATCTTCTGCTGCCTGATTTGCTCCTTCTGGAGGAGATGCTGGAGCAGAGCCTGGTGGCTAGGGCTGACCTTTGACTCCAGGGCTGTCTGAAGAGGCACAGGGCCCAGCAGGTGCCCAGGCAACCCATGTTTGATTTCTGTCGATCTGTCATTTAAGCCCATAGCAGCCTAAAAGCAGGGAATTAAGGTAAATTAATTCAAAAAATATTAACCTTTCTACATTCTAATTTTCCACAAAGAACAATAAGAAATTATCTTAATTGAAAATGGAGGTAACAATGAATATGAGTCTCACACTGGTGTGTACCTGATAAATATTTTGTGGAATGTGCCACTATGCAAAGGATGATATATCATGTGTCAAGCTATCAGGAGTTGCACTTGAGAACAGCGGGGCTTTTTAAAAGCTGTGATTAATGAGGTAACAGGGGAGGATAAGAGCATGCTTGACACAAGACACTGCAGCACAATATTTATGTAAGCCCAATAAAATCATTTGGGGCCACAGGTCAGTGACCTTGCGGTCATAAAGAGAGTCCAGAAAGCCACCGATGGCAGGTTCTGAAGCTCCCACACTGAGATGAATACCTCACATCCACAAAAGGGCCACAGTGTTATACACTGTGAAATATCATGCAGGAAGGTCCCCAATATTTGTACTCACACTAATTGTTGTGGATGTAGTAGAGAGCCCCAAGGAGATGTTGGGTAAGGATGGAGATGTGTACAAGCTCAGCATGGACACGGAGCCCTCAGGTCGGAATAATCTTGGCTGGGAAGGCCACCTCTACATCAAACAGGCAGAAGAGAGCAAGAGAGACAAATTTAAGTAGATGGACAGATCTAAAGATTGCACTGAAGGCAGTTTCAAAAGGAAACAAGCTAAGTGGCATGAATATAAATGTGCTGTGACAGGAGAAAGTCCATTTTTCTGAAAGTATTTTTGATGGCAGTAAAGGTTTTTCAGACCCTCACAGAATTAAACCAAACTTGATTCACAAATTAATGTTTCTGCAGGTTTCTAAGCCCAAACTGCAGTCCTCAGTTTCCCAGTCCCCACCTTCAGGCTACTCTCTCAGAGAACATCAGCACTGGGGTATACTTCCTGTACCCAGCAGAGAAGCGGAGCAGCATGTGGTTTTGGAACAGCCATGTTTATCCTTCCAACCCCTACCAGTATTCAGTGACCTGTATGTGGATATCCGGCCCGTATTTGACCCAAGGGACTCTTTCTCTCTGAAAAAGGATACCTAATGTAACAGTGTACAAACACTCCTTGCTTTTGCAACAAGCATGGGGTCCACGGGGATCCCTGCAGTCCACCAATGACTTTCATGAGAGCCTCGACTCAGGCCTATACAATAGCAATCACGCATGTTTATGTTGTTAGCGTGTGGGTGTCTTTTGGCTACCAGTGCCTGGGATATCAATTAAAATCCCCAGTTTGAATGTTTCCCCAAGCCTCAACCTTCAACCTGGTGTCTGTCAGGGCGTCTCTCCCTTCTCTGTGTCACTAGAGGTCCCTCGGAGAATAAACAGCAATGTGAAGGCAAACCCAGCTGCTCTGTTAGGATCGCTCGGAGATGTGTCATATCTGTCAAATATCATAACAGCCAGTACTGTGAGCTCAGTCTAAGGCGAGTTCCAGTCCGTAACTTAGCCAGGAATCAGAGCAGCCCACGCAAATGCAGTCTGAATCCTATGAAAAGACAAGGCAAACAGTGACTTTCTAAAGAACTGTTTGTCCAATATGGATTTTTATTCTCACTCAAATAAGTGTTGAACTAAAATGTATTTTTTGCACAGTTCCAGTGAAAAATAGTGCAAAAGTAGTAAAAAAGTTGTATTTTTTTGTGTGTTTTTAACATCTTTAATACTGATACCTGTATGGTCAGGACTGTATTTAAGTTTGAGCAGCTGCAACTGTAACTGTTTAATTTTAGATATACCATCAAATTTATGAACGCAAATAGGGTCATGTGGGTTGAGTTGTGCCTCTTTAACGTCATCATGGAGATCATTATCAGTGAAGTGTAACAAGCAGAGGACAGCTGTCCACTTTTATAGCTGCAATAACCGAATGTTTTATGCCATGTTCAAAACAATTAACCAATATTTGTGCACACAATTTATACACTTACCTCAGTTTTTGTTGTTGTAGGCAGAGAGGAGGGTCCATTTTCAGCCCCCAAGGCACTAGAGGCCCCTATGGGAGAGCTGGGGCCAGACCCAGGGGCGCTGTTAGTTGGCGCTGAATCTATGAGACATCAAAAGTTTGCATCATTACACTCCGAGCTGTGTTCAGTTATCTAAACAAGTACATAAAAGCAACTAATGTAACTTTAATCTGACATGATACAGAATACAAAAAAAAACATATTTGTGTATTGGCTGCTTCAGTGACTGAGTGAGGCATACCGATAAGCTCTAAAGCCCTCTTTTTGTAAGGAGTAATAATGTTTCCGTCTCTTCTCTTCAGCATTGGACTGCTTCTCCTCTCTGCCACCTTCTGCTTCAGTCTGGATCGTACCTTCAGATTTGGCTCAGACGCTGCAAGACAAAAAAGGACATGCGTTCTGTATAGCATCCAAGTCACACAACTCTGTTAGGAGAATCAAACTTTCCAGTAAAACATGATTGTTTCTCTTCAATGTGCCAGAGTCAGACTGTACAATCCTTTCCACTCCCACAGTTATCAATCCAAAAACAAAAGGAGAAATAACGGCAATGCTGCCATGTTTTGACATGCTACCATTTCAGTGTCCAGCTACGTTTTGAATGAGTCAGGATTGGACCCATTTCCACATCATCTGGACTACATTAGGTCGAGCAACACACAGGCTCAAAGTGTAAGAGTCTGCTACCTGCCGCCCTGGTGACCACAGCCTGATACAGTAGCAACAGTTAAACTAACACAAAAACATGGCAGATGTTTCAGGCTTCCTCTACATCCCCCGTCGCCCTAATGCAAACCAGAGGTAGGACCAAATGCATCGAGTCCGAACACACGGCTGACCGTGTGATAATGCTAATGCAATATCTGTCACAATAGACACGTTGGATAAAGAGTTTCCATCTGGTTTTTATGATGGAAACTTGAGTGAATATTGGCATGTTGTCATACTTAGGATAATCAAATCATTTTAAAACCTCAATTTAACAGGGTTGAGTTTCTTTCAGCAGAAATTGAGTCCAAGACAAACTTTCTGGCCTTCTCGTGATGGATGATTATTAACTACTACTATAAAATCAATAACTGTTAGATCAGATGAAATCTTGCCTAAATTCATCAACAATTGACGCTGATTCATGAAGCACTTTATAAAAGTATTCACACCCCTCAAACTATTTCACGTTTTACACATTTTAATCACAAACAACAATATGCATTAAGTGTGATTTCATGTGACAGACCAACACAATTTAGTGCACAACTGTGAAAACTAGTCGACAGTTTTCCTTTAGTCTGATACCCCTAAATATAATCCAGTGCAACCAATTGTCTTCAATGAAGTTCACCTGTAGTTTCAACTCCGTATGAACACCAAAAATTTGAAAGCATACAGCTTCATGAAGGCCGAGGTCAGGGAAAATGTTGTGGAGAATTTTAAATGTGAGTTAGGAAATAAAACATCTGCCAAATTATGTGAGCAAAATGAGTAAAATGCTTGCTCAATCATTTTCTCACATGTCTCTATCACTTGAAGAGACCATCCAAACCATAAAACGTCCAGAAAAGTTTTTCAAGTCGGTGAGAAGATGGAGGCAGCTAAATGTAAGGGAACAGAAAGAAAACAAGAGCTGCAACATACTTAGAATTGGGTTCCCTTGGTGAAGGAAAACAAACCTTAATATACATTTACACCTGCTATAATTTAGAACAAAAAGGCATCATATTTGAAAGGGACATGATTCAAATTTAAAACCAGTTTTAAATTTTGCAAGAATTAATTGGTATATAAATAAAATTGAAAGTGTTTGTGTTCGCCTGGTGAACCATGCTCCTGTTTAATCATTCGATTATGTCTCAAGACTTCCAAAAGAAATCCCTCAGATACTTTTACATACTCAAAAAACATGCAGAATAGACAAGTTGCTTTTTTTGTGACTGAAAGCCAAAGCAGAGAGATGTATTACAGTTATGTAAACCCTTCGGTTACACAATAGTCAACCTGTTTCAATTATTTAACTCTGATCAATAATTTAATAGGCCTTTCTTGTTTGTACATCATACGGTTACACATAGGAAAGCGCAACTATGATGTGGAAACACTGCGGGGAGGAGGAGGGTGATCGTGATGCCAGGGGGCAAGGCGAAGCGAGTGGGTCGAACGCTGCTATTTTTGGCTTTTGTCAAAAGCAGCAAAACCGTCTTCCCTAATACAGACCTCTAATCCCGTGGGTGTGAGGTAGAATAATAATAATAATAAAAAAAAAAGAGAGCGCGAGGGCGGAAGAAAGGAGGCAGCAGAGATAAATGGAGAGAAATCGCTGTTGGGAGTCATATGAATTTGCTTCACGCCCTGCCGCCTTGATTGCTTTCTATTTTTACACGCCGCTGCCACCAAGCTATGCATCCCAATTGGTCGCCACGGGAACGCAGACAGCAGCGCACGAACAAACACTTTTTTACATGTCTCTATGGAGAAATAATCAAATAAAAATACATTGACGCATGGTGGGTGCAACAGGAGGCTACAGCAAAGCGTGTATGCCGAACACCTGGGTCACTTCTGCAGTGAAACCTCATCTCACACAAGAAATACTACAATATGTTGCAATCATAAATCAGTGTCATTGGTAGTCCGCCTATCTGTAGTTAATCAGATGTCTGGCCCACCATTTCTATTAGTGATTCTTTATTAAAGCTGGGATCTGGGCAGATGGCTCTCTGCAAGTTTGGTTTTCTGTACAACAGAATACCAGCTGAACAATTTGCTGACATCAATTTCTGAACTAATGCTGAATAGTTTAAAAATAATGCTGCTCTGTATCTTTACAGATATAAGCTTAACATCTTATGTCTGTCTCAAAGAAACTGTAAGTCTTTTTGAATTAGAGTCCCTCAAAGAGAAACAAGTTTGCCTTTTTTTTTGAGAGAGAGAGAAATAAAACAGTTCAAAAACTTATTTTGAGTCAGTTACTTAGGAATCCTTTTGTTTATTTAGTAAGCCCATTAAATGTGACCTACAAAAAAGAATGAACCGGTGTCATGTCTAAACATAAACAACTTAGCCAGGAATCCAGTTTAAACTGGATCAGGAAGTATCTTTATATCAGCAATCAGGTGCAAGCAGAACTTGTCAGAGAAACTGTTTGGCAGACATATGCATCTCTTTTTAGTACATATATGTGTATGTATCCTGACAGCAAAAATATATATATATATATTTTTTACATATAGAACTGTGACAGAATAATCAGAGATAGGTAATAGATAAATGGATATATATAATTGCAAGGTTACCGGTTAACATCCTTCCTTTCAGAAATATAACATTGATTTTCACTGCTATGCTGATAACACTTTGCATTTTAGTTTTCTAAATCAAATCAGGTTATTCAGTCCAGTTACTCACTCTACTGTATTGCCAATCAGGTCTTGGCAATACAGCAACAATAGATGACACAAAGAATACCCTATTCCAATGACAAAAGCAGAGGATATTGTTCTCGCCAATCAAATAATAATTTTGAATACGTAGTATCTCCGAATATTAGATTTAAATAACATTGAACTGAACTGAATTAATTGAGAATAGGAGTTTTTTTTTATGTCCTCAATCAGTCATTGTCTACAAAAGTATCACTGGTCTACAAGGACCTAATTTGTGACAAAGACACCCCCAGCCCACCTCTCAAAAGTTTAAAAACATGTTGGTCTAATCAAAAATACTCATACAAGTATATAAGATAAGACATAAAACATTAAACATACATTTTTAACATACGGTCTAATGCTTTCTGGTGTACAGTTTACCTTTGTAGGACTATTTTGGAAAATCTTTCCCTCACCTGCTGAATACACACGTCTGGTAAGTGGGTCAAGACCAGAGTGGAGCAGGGTGGGGTGTGTTGGGGAGATGCAGCTTTTAGTGCCCGGCCACAACTATTCTTACCACAGACTATCACGTGCTGTCAGCCGAGTCTCTTCTAATTCCAGGAATTGAAACAAAGAGGATATAAGCAAAGTGGGAGTCTGAAAACTGCTTTTTGGTGCTTGAGAGAAACACAAGAGTGTCGGTAACGCTTTGCGTTTGTAGGGATTATGAGGCTATAAGAACATGGGGCCCTTAAGAGAGGAGATCAAAGCAAGTATCATGGTTAGCATGCAATTTAAACCAATAATTGGCCACCAGATCAGAACATACCACCTAAACAGATAGAATAAAATTGATTTAAGGTAAATCGTCATTAAAATAAATCACTAAAATCATTAAAAATACAAATGTTTTGTAAGTTTTTAGGGACAAATAACATATTTTGAAAGCTTCACCTCATTGTGAATCGCAAAGTCATACAGAAAAAGTTTGGGCTCGGTGTGGTGAAGCAGTGGAGAGTCTGCCACGGAGCGTCCTAAGTCGCCTCTACTTTGTTTTAAGAGAGCTGTCTTTTCTTGAACAAACAGTCCTGTCAGGGTTCATCCTGCCTGTGCAAGCTTTAAGTCTGCAACACCTGCCAATCAGTTATCTGCGACAACCAATGGTTCAGGGAACAAAACTACCTTTGTGTGTGTCCCCTCTCTCGTGTGCCAAACTCTCAGAAGACTTTAATAAAGATCGACAGGAAGTGGGGGAGGATGGCCCTGAGCAGGAAATGACCACATATAGATTCAGGAATCCATATCCACAGAGTTAAAGGACTTTTGTCAGTGCACAGGATTAAGGCAGAGAAACCAAGTTTCCTATGATAAATAAAAACTTCAATTCTTCACTTCGAAGATTTTTCTCTTAACTCTAGTCGAATTAAAACTAGACAACATGACCTTTAATTTGGGGGTAAAATGTGTTGCGAATCCCAAAGTTAGTTTAAAAGGACATTTATAGGTATTTTAGATGAGAAACTCATGTGTTGTGGACACATTACAAAGATAAAAAATAAGTCATCTTTTAAAATTTATAACTACCTTTTAAGATTATTTTCTAATGTGCTGTGACATTATTTTACTATAAGTTATCCCTCTGCTTGATATTCAAATTGAGCACACATCCAAAATGATATGCATGTGTGCACATCATTAATGAGCCATGTCCCCAGCTCATTAACTGGGGACATAGAGGATGAGAAAACATATCGTATTTGGTGACCTCATGGCCAAATTATGAAGCTTTTGCTTCTGCAAACCTTTACACCCATGAAAGAAAAATCAGAACGGCTGAGCGAAAGGAATCATTCTTATTTCCACGTTAATCCCCAGAGAACTCCCTTCAACTTTAAACCAACAAACCTGAGCTCTTTTCAGGTGGAAACTTTTATGTTTATATTTTTAAAATAGTTTCGAGGCACCATATCTCAGGAGGAATTATTCCTCCTAAATTATCCAATTTAGCTATGGACTACTTCAAAGCACCTTTGAGCTGTGGTTGACCATTAACATAGGGACATTAACACGGCAGCTTATTAACACCAGGAGTGGAGACGTAACAAGATCTCCTGACATAAGATTTCTTGTCAAAGCGCAGTCTGTCTAACGTAACACTATCCACTGTGTCCGTCTGTGTCTGTGTTTAACTGTTTAGTGAAATAAGTCAAGGCTATTGTCATGGGCTTGTACCTTAAACTTAATACCGTTTTTTGCTAAGTTTGAGACTTTTATTTTGAAGTAAGAAAGGAAGTAACTCTTAGGTTGCACTATTCACCTGACAGAGTCAACAAAAAATGCTTTAAAAAAGGGTCATCCTCACTTCGAAATTATTGGTGTGGAAACATGTAGGAACAAAAATGGCACAGGATAACTACTGTGAGAATGCTAATTATTATCAGTGATTATAACATAATCAGATTTGATACTTTAATGTTTTTCTGAAGTTGACAGAGTTTGGATCATACTGACCCTAATAAGGCCTCAACATAAGTGTAAAACTATCTTTATTGAATTGTCGGTAAAACATATCTTGTCTTTCAAGTGTTTAATTTTTCAGAAACAAATTCTGAAAATTGTGCATGTTGAGGACATTTATGCGTTAAGATTTTCATGTTGGTGCTGTGTTCATGTGTAGATTTGCAAACCTGTCTTCCTCAAGGGGAAGTCGTCCTTGCTCTCCATAGGTGACGGCAGAGTGTACTGGCAGGTGGGCGACGTGCCCCCCAGTGGTGGAGAGCTTTGGTCCAGGGATGCGTGGTGTGAAGACCTGTTAAAAAAAAAAGTAAAGAAAATTTCAAAAAAGGCACAAAATGTGCTGAAATATTCAACTTCTCCCCAAAAAGTAACACAAGTCACTTACGTGTACCAGAGTTTGGGATGTTGGATGAAAGAGTGATTGGCTCCATTAGAGACTGGATCCTTTGCAGATTTGTTCAACAGAAACTCTTGGAGTTTCTGCTTCACCTCTGTGCTGGCCACTGCACCTGTGAGACCAAAAGGCAGAACCAAAGGGATTGGGGTTACCCTAACTTGTAAATGCGTGGACCGTCACACTCGATGCACATATATAGATACAAAAATAATTTTCTTTCATCCTAATTTAAAAACAGCAAGACTATATAAAAAATTTTCCCCCAACAACTCCTGTAACTGAGTACCCTCTCCTCACTGAAGAAGGCCATTTATGTAGGAAGATCTCCCCCTAGTGGTCAAAGGGGACAATAATGTTGCTGCATACGTGATCATGCAGTGAGTTTCTTCCCCATAAGACGGTTAGAGTTACAGAGAACAGCTTCACATTACCTGACTTGGCAAAGTCATAAATCCTGTCTATTATTAACTATGAGGTAAAAACAGCAATGAAATGTTATACCTGGCATTATTTTTATCATGCTATTGGAAGACATTTCTTCTAAATTTGAGCTTTAAAGGTCACCGAAGAACTGGATGTCATCAGAGCTGTATAAGTGCCATCCATAATTACTTCTCAGAGGCCTAAAGCCAAGCCCAGAATCATGAGACAGTTTGATTTGCTGTTGAGAAATATTTTCTCCAAGAGCAAGAGACATCAAAAATTAACAGCCTGTCCTCATTATGAATGGCAATAAAATGAGTCTAATTCTTTATTGCTCACATTCAAGTCCTTGCTTTTGCAAATCTAATTGTGATTTACTTGCAACGATCAAGTCATTTTAATGAGGCTGCCTTAAACACGAACCCTGCTTTCTTAAGTTACTCGCTGATAGTATTTAAAAGTGATTTTGCCCAAGAATGAATAAGCATTTTCCTTCACATAGTCGGTGCTGAGCATTAACTACTTAATGCAAAGAAATACCAGCTCAAATGTTTGCAGTATCTGGTGGGGTTTTGTGAGCTAAATGCTAATTTATTTTAGATTTAACAGAATTTAATAGGCAACAGAATTAATGAGAAAAAAAAATGGACATTTTAAATGAAGTGTCAGGGAAAGAACACTGTCCAATCAAGCATACTAGGAAAAACACCGCACTATACAACACTATAATTTTAGGATTATGACAGAATGTGTACTTGCTCCAGTGGGTAAACTGAAGGGAGCATGTATCCAGTATATTCTTTCCAGCTCTTATATGTACATTTTTCATATACCCCACTGATATGCATTAAAGATAATGGAAAAGGTTCACCCTTATAATTGCTTTTGTCATGGGCGGTTAAGTTTATTGTGTAAAATATTTGCCCCTGACAGAAAGGAAATCACGACGATGACGGTGCCGAGCTCTTACTCTCTCGGGAGCGCTCCTTGCCCCTGAGGCTCAGGCTGGAGACATGCTGCTCTCGTCGATGCCTCTCCAGCTCTTTTTCCTGCTGGTTCTGTTGTTGTTGTTGCTGCTGCTGCTGCTCGAGACGGCGCTCCTTCTCAGCGAGTTCCTGCTGCTGCTTCATGGCCTGGAGCTCTTGCTGGAGCTGAGAAAAGCGGTGCTCACATCAGCATGAACAGAAGTAATTGTCAAATCAAAGAAGCTTTTAAAAACTTCCGTTGTTTCTTGTTTTGCTGCAGTGAAAAACTCAAGGCTCCAGCTAGATGTATTTTTGTAGAATATACTGCAAAACCTTGAGTCCTGCTGTTTTCCTTCTGCTGCACTCTTTTTATGCTGTCCTGAGATACACATTTTTGTACTGCATCTGCACTAATGTCGTGCTGTGCTGCGTTATGTTGTTTCTGTTGTCATGCTGACCTCCATGCTATTGCTCAGTGCAATGCTAACCTTGAGATGCTCCTGAAGCTGAGCCTGGTGCTGACGGGTCAGCTTCTCGTGCTGCTTCTGAAACTCGCTGATCAGTAGCTGCTTCTGGATCTGCTGCTGCTTCTGAATGAGGAGCAACTCCTGCTGGAGCTGCCTTTCCCACAGTCCGGGGTCTGAGCCTGGCCCCAGCATCCTCAGGTCTGTGCGTAGGTCCAAAGGGGACAGGGGCTCCACAGCCAATGGCACGTCTGGCTTAATGTCGACTGCAGCACAGAAATAGGACAAAATGTAAGATTTGTGCGGTTTTGGTAATTAAATGAACGGAAGATAAAAATGTGCACATTCACTGTGAGAAAGAAAATCTTTCTTTCTCGTGATTCTAGAAAGCCTGCGATTATAACAGCATCTATAAACAAACAGTCTCACATGCGTCATTTCAGAGTCCACTGGGGGCTGTTGTGTGCACTTTGAGACTCAGCAGACATGTGACACAAAATGTGGAAGCAGTCGATTAAAGTATTTACATAAAATCTGTTTTCCCACTGATAGATAAATAATTGCAAAAATGTGCTCCTCCCCATATGCAACAGAACATCCTGCAGATATTTTCTCCTCTCATTAATAATGTATGACAAAAACAGGCCGTGAACCCGCATGAGTTTGTAAATTCATGTACTTGTATGGTGTTCTCATTTCTGTGCTTCAGCACAGACAATGCGACATGCACATTGGTAAGAAGTGCCTCTCTATTATAGGTAATTGCCTGATACAAAGTGACAGGGCATCCCCTTTGGTCTCCAGTCTCTATATATAGCCAGTTCTGCGGGGGGGGAAAAATCAATGGCCAGAAAAGAACGCCAGACACAGACTTACTTCATCGTCCTCCTCCACAGAGGATGATTAGTGATTGTCCAATATTTTCCACATCCTTTCTATATTTTTTCATCTAATTCACACGACTGGTCCCATCTGCCTTCTTCAGGCTGACCCTGTGTGCACTTAAGTGGAGGGTGAAGATTTTCAATTAATTTTAAGATATGTGTCAGGACAATGTCCAGTGTCTTGTGAGAACCAATACCTTTAGAACTTTTTCACATCTCGAATCGTTACAATACAGTTGTCAATATTTTTAATATATTTGAGAGAGACGCATAATAGTACAAAAAAAGGAAAATGACACATAGATTGGATTTCTTACAAATGTGAGAAGCAGAGCACAAATTTGGATTTAGGCCCCTGATACAAGACACAAGGGATAAATTGAGAGAGATATTTACTATTCCTTTTTAATAACAATAAACCAACGATGTTTGTTATTCTTAAAAACTGATATTTGATATATCTCTATGGCTGCTTCAATGAAAGTGTCAATAAATGATTTGGTTCAGTCATATATACATATGTTAATAATATATGACTGTTTTTAAACAACAATTTTGAAGTCTTTACAAAGTTTCACAATTGTATTTAGGTTTGGACTTTTGGACTTTTACTCGACCATACAAGCATGTGGTTGTATTTTAATCTAAAGTTGTTCAAAGTCAATCGAACCTCAAAGACTGGTGTCCTGCATCTTTTCAAGTTTTTTTTTCTTTGTTTTTGCTTCTCCAGAACTTTTACATGATGTGAAGGAAGTTGGATCATTTGAATTAGCTGTGTTGGAGCAGAAACGTCTCAAAGACTGGCAGGACTCCAGCCATTGAGGACTTAAACTGGACAGCCATAATATAAACCATTCCATTCAAGCTCAGACTTTTTATCTATGGGGTCATAGGTCTATGGGGTCAGAGGTACGCAGGAAGCCTCAGCAGCCTGTAGAAGTATGACGCAACCACCTCCACATTTCACCAGTCTCAAGTCTTCTGCAGGGACAAAAGGTTTCTCTTCCAGGATTGCTCTGTAATTTAGCTCCATCCATCTTTCCATAAACATTGACCAGCTTCTCTGTCCCACCACCATATTTCACCTTGGAGATGGTGATCTTGGGGTGATGTGCAGTGTTTTCTGGCAAGCATATCATTTTGCATTTAGACCAATCTCTCTAATCTTCTCTTAATGTGGGGAACAATGTTTCATTTTCCGTCCACATTATAATTATGAGCTATTTTGTGTTGGACTATTATGTAAAAGTACTTTGGCTAGAAAGTAACAAGTGGAAGCTTTTGCAAGGCAATGTAGTTTCTGCGGTAATTGAGTCTAGCGGATAAAGGTTAGTTAGCCTAATACAATGTGATATTCAGAGACGCATCTGGACTTTATTCTATCTCCTTAATGGCAACGCTGGACAAATATTAAAATCTACTTAAAATTCCAGGGGCTTGATGGAGATTTATTGAGTCCTTTCACTGGCTTAATCTTCTCAAGAGGTCACATCTGAGGGATCATCAGCTGAGCCACTACTTCACCTGTTACTGGAAGAACTAAGCCCGCATAAATTGTTACACATATGTTCATGTGAAAGCCCAGTAATAAATCTAAACAGAGGTTGTAAAAAGCGACAAAATCCACAGCAGACCTGAGCAAAAAAAAAAAAAAAAGGAGCAAAAAAAGCAGTGCCCCTCTGCTCTCTGATGTTGTAAAGCTCACTGGTGCTCATTTGTTTTGTCATGTTTTTTTTTTGTTTTTTTTTCTGCCACCCTTCCATGTGCATGCACCGGTGACGATTAAAAATAGAAACATTAAAGCGAGTGGCGCAATCCCAGTCTGTGACAACCCCTCCTCCGACTCTACGCACACACACGCACACACGCGCATACACACGCACACACACACATTCACGCACTCCCCAGTATCCACCACCCCTAACTTGCTGCTGCCATGGCAACGCTGGCGACGTAATTATGTCTCCCTGTTCTGCAGATATCAAGTCTCACTGCATGTCATCTCCTGCCTACAGCGTGCGATGTGGCATGTTGACTATTATATCAGCTTTTCCAGCTCTTATATAAGAAAGGAGTCCCGAGCCGGAGACAGAATGAGGGGAGACATTAGAAAAGCCTTCAGCAGCTCGGTTCTGAATCAATGGGGAGAGCGACTTAAAAGATGTTCAAAAGAAGTGAAGACAAACAGAAGGGACTCCAGCGCTGTCACTTTTCCTCTCTGTGTTCTAAAAACAACTTCAATCGGTTGACAGAGAAGGGCAACAGCATGGCAGACACATCGAACAGGCACCTGTAGAACAGGCACTTCTCTCCTGACAGGGAATATTAATCTTAGCTTGTAAGTACTTGACAAAGGAGCTTTTTGTAGTGGGTGCTGTGAACCTGTGAACCACAGCACGGCTCAGGGAGCCAGAGAGCTTTAGTGCTGCTTTTTACCTAATAGACCCAAAAATAGATCCCCTACCCAAAGTGAAAAAAGAAAGATGAAAAAAGGCATAAAATCCCTGCTGGGAGGTCTAATTAAATCTCATATTTCATTCTGTGTCCAGGCTATGAGTGGCATTAAGGATCTCCACTTTGATCGGCACATCAAGCGCAGCCTCCACCAGAAAATCTCCATTTAGCTACACAGGATGGGAAAGCTTCAGTAGCCTCATATGCATATGTCTGCTAAAATTTCTATGTGTTGAATAATGACAGTGATGAGGAAACACAGGGTGCTAAATTTAAGCAAGCACTGTTATAGCAACAGTAAAGCCTTGATCTTTGATATGTGTGATTTTTAGCTTCCCTTGTCATGACTGACACTGAAAACAGAGATACTGGTGTGCTTAGTGATGCATTTTTCAAACCACACATCACATCAGACTTGCAATGCCTCCAACTAAAATCTAATTTATTATTTCAAACTGCTGTCTTAAATGACTCGAAGTGAAATCTGGCGTTCCTATATGATAAAAATACTCTACAGGCAGAGGAGAAAGCAGAACTAGCAGAAGCTGAGGCTAATTTTAAATGTTTTTTTGAGCAGGGTCTTAATATAGACGACATGCAAAAGAGTGTCACAGTTGTGAGGCCACCCGCTCGATTTATCACAGGCAAAAATAAAACGCAGTGTCACATTTATATAACTTTTAGCTAATTTATGAAACTGTCGCTCAATAAAAAAAGTTTACGCATTCGAGGACAGTGGTCCAGTCTGTGACATTGACCCCTATGGGGAGCAATTCATACTGGGTGCCGCTTGATTCGTGGAAAGTGCACAGAAGGACCAGTAGGCGTTGGTAAACAAGAGATTTATGAATGACAGTTCCCGAATTTGTTTTTAGCACAGGAGGAGCAACAAGCACCCTGTACCGTGCCCAAATTCCTCTCCCAGAAGAGGTCCTGCCAGGGGGATATAGGGTGACTCATTGCCTGTGACCACACTCCCACTGCTGCATCGCACCACCAGTGTCTCCAACGTGTTTATTCCTATAACCAATCTGTCTCTCATTAGCCCTGCTGGTGCTTAGAGTGACAATCACAGCCTTAATTTAAGATGTTGGATGGCTGCCTTTTTTGCCTCAGACCACATTAGCAGGTTCCTGTCCAAGAAAGAAACACACATCACGAGGGACATTATGCTACTACTGCACGTGAGAGGGTTGGAACGCAACGTTTCACTTTAACAAGTTCTTCTCTAGCTGAAGCATCACCAAGCCTCACTGAATACCACTGAATCTCAGCAAATCCTCTAAAAAGAACACGCAGGCTAAAATAATTTAAGCTCTTGAGCCTACACTAGGATCTTGTTTTATCAGTCAGATCTGCAAATATTTCTGAGAAAACTATTTCAAAGATAAAATGGAGCGGCATTTTAATATTAAACAGAGATGCATTCCTCAAGTGTTTCTTAGTCGGTGTTTCTTGTTCTTGAGATCTGATTCTGATTTTCACCAATGCCATTTTTACATCACATCAAATGACGGATGCAATATGGCAGGTTCTTTACTTTTACAAAATGACGGCCAAAGATTTAGAAGACTGTCTCCATTTATGAATGAAATTATAACCTTGGGCTGATCTTTCTTTTCCGTTTGAAAAAAAAACTGACAGCAGAGCAGTAGCTAATATGTTTATAGACTGATTTTATCTAAAAAACTGGGGAAGGAGAAAATCTGATTTCTTAATATTTGACCTGCTGATCATTGATTAGTTACCTGAGAAAAAAGCTAATTCCAGTGTTTGACTAATGGCATCTCATTAATGTTAAACAAATTCACCATTGCCTCAAACTGGTGTATGTTAAAGGCAAAACTTAAATATGTGACTTTGAAATGTTGTTGATTTGAAGCCAGAGAATTATGTAAAAGTAAATATACCACATGCTGTGAAGCAACTTCATTTTCATCAGTTCAAAGTAAAGCTCACCTATCTATCTCTAGGTATTTTCTACTTAAAGCAGCACATTTCACCAAGAGTTTATCATCCAAATGTGTGTAAACTTTCAGTTTTTTTGCCACAGCGACTAAGAACACACTTGGTTATGCTGTAAACATGGATGCATGTGAGCATTTAAACCGAAATAGAGAGGGGCTGCTTATCTAAATTCCCCCGTCTGCCAGTATAAATAGAAACAGAGATACAGAAGATGTTTGAGGGCAAAAAAAATAAATAAATAAGCCAATGCTTGGGACTGCAATGTGGTGCTGGATCTCTCATTAAGTGCCTTGTTATTTTGAGCAGCTGGTATGTCTAAAGCAGGAAACAGGTCTTTATTTTTAAGACTGCAGGCTCGTCCTTGCAGCTGAGCCAGAGCTGTGGTTAGGGAGGCTGTCTGCAAACAAAGAGAGCAAAGCAGTGCCACCACGGCTCTTTGACTGAAGGAAGCCAAGCGTTCAGTTGTCTCCTGTCCTGCTGTTACCTCTAATTATTTACACAACAATAACACACAATGCAAAGTATGACAAATATGAGCCAAAAAAGAGAATTAAGCAGACGACTGGCATTTAGGCAATGCTTTTTACTACAAATTTTTAGGATGCTCCTTTACTTTGCAGCAGTTTTCCCGATGCTTGGGGACAGAATTTGACAAGCGTGTGGACTTGGAATCCTCGTCAGGAATTCAACTAAACCAGAAAAATAATAGTTGTAAAAACTTTTTATGCTTTAAATGCTATATCAAAAGTCATACCAGCTTACTTGACTTAAAATGTACATACCCAACCAATGGACTAGGTCACAAGTTACTTCCACAGATGTGTTTTGGGGGTAGTTTTGCAGGCCGGCAGCTGAAAAGTTTTGACATCCGCTGCTCTGCATGCTCTCAACATTTGCTTCACTCTGCATAATCAATAAATTCCTAATCTATTCATTAGTCAAATGGGTCATTCTTGCCATTTTTAGCATTCCATGAACCAGAGAAATCCATTCAACGGAAAAAAAATGTCCCCTAATGTTAACAGTCGTGAACTATGCTCTTTAAGGATGAATTTTGCAACAACAGGAAAAGGAATTTAGAAATGTCTAGGGTATTTATAGCAGCTCTTTTGTCCTCGGAATCTTTTTACTCCTAAATTATGTCGTTTTCAGGCAGTGCTGACACTAAAACCTGTCCTCTGCATGGTGTTTTGCACCATCTCTTCTGTGTTTCTTGATTAGGTCCAGGACATAAATGAGTGGACTTTTTGTTTTCTTGTTTTTTTTTTTTTTTTTTTTTTTTTTTTGAGAAATCTGTATGACATTTTGAGCAAAAGGGGAAATTCACTAGTTTCTCTGTTCTGCTTGAGAACCCACCTGTGGATTTATTTATTTTTTTAAAGAACCTTATTGGTCCTGATGCTAATCTGAAATTGTGATTAAGCCCCTTTATTCTCTGATCCACTTGAAGTGTGATAAAAGGCAGGAAGACGGATAAGAACTGTGTTTCAGACAAATACATCACAAATAAATTATTTAACCGACAGTGAAGCTTCTTCACATGCTCTTTTCCTGACAAAATAGCATAAACAGAAAACTATTAGCACATTTCGATTGATGTCTTACTGCGAACAAACAGCCAGAGGAACCTAGCAATCTAACTCAGTTCCACACAGACACATTGTTTTCGTGCAGATAATGTTAGTCACCGTCATGTGGTTTATTCTAAAGTGGAAAGAACAAATTGAAACAGGCAAACGGCAGAATTCTCTATTAATATCTGTTCTGAGACGCTGTTATAGCAGGAGCATGCGAGATGGCATGATAACGCGCACAGACGCCTAATCTTAGCAGGCTAATGCCATAAGCTGAAAATAACTCACCTAAGAATAGCTGACCCACAGAATAAGCAAGGAGCCTGAATTCAAGTGCTTGCGCCCTACGGGTCTTGTTTGGTTCACAAGCCGCAAGACAATAGAAAAAATAAAAAAATAAAAAAATCTCTTCTTCTATTGCCCCAGGGTTATAGAAGATCCCATAAGGCTTCAGGTACATTCAATGGCAGCTGACACTTTATCTCTCTGTCTTGTCTCAATTATCTTGAATCCACTCTATTTTCACTTTAATACGAAAACATTTATAGGCAATTTAAAAAGTAGCTGTAAAATTTAAGTGTACAGGCAGAAGCTCGTTAAACCCTTCTGCCTTGTGCCATTTCTTTCTTTCTTTCTTTTATGAAGTTACGCAACTGCAAGACAATATTTTCACACAGCAAACAGTTTCAACTCTGTCATAATTTCTAAAGATACTTTTGAGTTTTCTCGGCAGTAACATAGGGAGACAGAGAAAACAAAGCAAAAAAAAAACACACAAATGAAGTGTGACTCATGTGGCTCTTGAGTCAATACAGTAAATAGATGTTACTCATTCTGATGTCAGCTGTGAACTCTTCAATTCGAGTCCCGAGCCCAAAATAGAACAGCTACTTAGTTGGTGGTAAATGTCCAAAGAGAAACCTTTTAGATGCCCCCCCACCCACCCTGCGTTCAGTATCTCTGTAACTTCCCTTCCTGTTCCCTCAAAAGTGCACGCTGACATGGAAGCTTGCAAAAGCCAACACGTCCCTCTCATGTTCACGGTGAGTCATTTTCGGTGAGCTACAAGCAAGCGGAGCAAGCGCTCACTCCATCTCTGATTTAAGTCAACAGGGACCGAAAAAAAAGCACTTATTTTCAGAACCCCGCACAGAAAAAGCAACGCACGCCAGAGGGAAAAAATACCTTGATTCGGGGGGGAAAGTTTCTGCTCCAAGTGGGTCGAGATGTCTCCCACGGAAAGAGCGCACGACAGTTGAGAGAGTGAGACAGAGAGATGGAGCGGGTATGTGCATGGGAAAGCGCGTAGGGTGGAAGGGGGTTTCGGGGTGTGGGGAAGCAAAAGAGGAGGAGAAGCGGGAGGACAGAAGACTCCTCAGGATGAGCGGAGACAGCGGCGCGTGAGATCACCTGAGTTGTTCATGTTGCGCATCTTGCTCTGGTTGGGGAGCTGCTGGTGTCCGACGCGCCCCTCTGTTGTGGAGAAACTTGACTCGCCCTCGTAAATCGTCTGCAGCATACTCCAGTCAGCGCTCAGGTCTCATCGCCAGCCTTGCGTTTCCTGTCACCAAGAGCCACCCCTCAGAAGCTCAGTGGGGGGTTGAGGGGAGCGAGAGAGAGAGACAGAGAGAAAGAGAGAGAGACCACGACGACCGGGCGACTCTCTCCCTTCCTCTGAGGAACAACTCTGACTGTAGAGCTCGAACACACACACACACACACACACAAAAAAAAAACTACACACTCTCTATCGCTCTCCGTCTGTCCCGGCAGGGCAGCTGCTGTGCTTCAAGTCTGGTCCAAACGTCAACACAATGTTTGGAGGAAGATGGCAGCTGGTTCTGATTCTTTTTATCTGCCTACGTTCCCCCCCGTGTTTCGGTCTCCTCACCCACCCCGCCAAAGTGTTCGGGGCAGAGAGAGAAAGAACGTAAAGCCGAGTTGCAGAGAAAGCTGTGCGCTCTGAGCACCTCGCGCAGGCAAGAAATGCGAGCCGAGGAAGGGAGCGAGCTTCATTTGCATGTGAATCAACAACTGCGGGGCTCACAGGTGACAGAAATAGAACAATGGCCAGCCCTGGCTAAAAATAGGTCAGGCGAGGCGCAGGGATTGGAGCAGCATTGATGCGTTTAAAAATACCACACCAAACACAGCTGTCTTCTTCAGCTCCTGCCAGAAGGCATGTCTCCTGACTCGCTCTCTGCAGATGGAGGCTTGAAACCTCTCTCTATCCCTCCTTTCTGATTTGTTGAACCAGTGTCTCTCACTCTATTTATGTCTCTGTTTTGTTCTCTCAGGTGCAGGAATAGGCTCAGCCTCTTTCACCCTGATGTTTCCAAAAGAAACAACAACAAAAAAAGACACCTTCACTTTTACATGTGCATGTTGGAAACACAGGTAAGTAAGTGATTCGCAAAAATCCTGACTAGTGATGAACACAGATTCACGGTAATCTGAGCAGTCTGTTAAGACAGTAAATGAACAAAATGTCCCTTTGAGATGCAGAGTGTAAACTCACTGTGCTGGCTCGGGGTGTGTACGACGTTCAGTGTGTATCCAGGGCAGGACGGCGACTCAGGAAGCATGCTTTCAGCTCACCAAAGAAGCTAAGTGTAAGATGGCATTACAGCATGATCGTAATTACATAAACCCCTCAAACTGTGTCAAGAGCGCATCCTTAAGTTGTGGAATCCTATTCCACAAAAAAATCCTTGACACTAATTAATGTTGGATTGATATATATATATATATATATATATATATATACTGTATATACACTGTGTTCTGATGCTATTCACTCACATTTGCTGGTTTTTCCCCCCTCTTTTTTTCAATTGATATCACAAAACAAAGCATTTAATACAATCTGACTCGCTTCACTAAAAGGCCAAGTCAAATGTTCAATCTGACCACTGATGCAGGGTTGTGTTTGTGGCCAAGCAGCCTGTGCCTTTAAATTTTTTCATCTTCCTTCATAATTTGACCTGTCCCCCTGCCAGGGGCTTTGAGCCAGCGCAGCTATTTTTAGGGCTGGAGCTCTGACGACTGGAATACGAGAGACACAGAGAAGGAGTTTTTACTGTGTTGTTTCAGCTGGACAAACATTTAACCCCCTCAATCCTTTTATCGCTGCACAGCCATTAAGCCAAGAAGGAAATACTCAGCTTGTGGGCTCCATGCAGGCACAGAATAACCCTGAAGCTAAAGCATATGTGTGGTGTGATTGCTGCTATTATGCAAACAAGCACCAACATGTACAGTCTATATGGATGTTGATTACAGCAAAATTCAGGGAGGCACCATAGTTTATTTACTAAACGTTATCATGAAAAAAAATAATTTAATATCAGAGCTGACTGTTGTGCAGAACCAGAGACATTTTTGAGACGGTGAACATTTAAGAGCCACATCACAGTTAAACAGATCTGACAAACTCCTGATCTCCATGATTTACTTTGGGCTCTCATTCTGGCTGGGATGGTGAGAGTGATAACAAGCCCTCAAGTCCATGGTACAGATTGCTAAAGACCCAGAGCTCCATCTGACACATTAGCTGTCAGAGGAGGCTGGCTCTGACCCTGGGCTGGCCTTCCCATGTACTGAGGCTGAACTGCTCAAAAGGAGACACAAGACGGTCAGGACAATGTGAACAACTATTACTATGACAGTAGTTTTTGCACAGAAGTGGGGATTTTTTTTTGCCATGTTGCCAGGCATCACAGCATAACAAGCTCTTTACGGAATTTGAATTTAAAACCGGCAAAGAATTTCATCTCATCGTTGTCATGGTTCATAGTTCTTAATGAGAGCCCAGAGGAAATGCGAGAGTGATCAGACTTTTCTCCATCTGTGCAGAGCACGGATTAACTTAGTAGCACCACCTCGAATGAAACTATGAAGGGCTGAGCATTTTCTTATTTAATCATAGCTTCTCATGATATGGTATCTGTCTGGATCTCAGCTCAGTTCATTAAAAAGCATTAAAGGTGAGAAGTGAATTAGCAGAGAGCAACACATGTTTCTGAGATTATATACTAGTAACAGAGAATAATGAAGCCTTTACACTGCAGGTCACCTGGCATAAAATATGCAACGACAACTTTCTCATACTTACAAGAAAAAGACATTTGGCAGTTTGGACATTTTTCTTGCCAGTAAAACCACCGACAGTCATTGCACGGTAGCGCTCTCTTTTTATAATCAATGTTTTAAAACTGCAGTAAGAAAGCTACAAGTGGTTTGTCTGCCAACCACTCAGCTGCAAGACTTGCCACAAAATCGTTTTTTTTAGACTAGCAATTTAAATGCTATGTGCCTGAGCACAAACAAAAAGAACGTTCATTAATTACAAAGACTTCATTATTAGTGTCAACTTTAAGTAGATTCTTGAAAAGCCTCAGCCTTGCCCTACCGCATGTTCCTCAAAAACAACACACTTCTCTTAGCTGCGATTAACCTACACTTTTTTTTATTTATAACTAGCTTCCTGAGGCTGATGAGGGATTGCAGGATTGGAAATAGCTCTGACCAATAAGCAGGGTCCAGTAAACCTGCAATGTGGCAAGCCCGTTATAGCTCCTACTGCGTCACTGGCGGCCTTTGTCTGCCTTTAGTCCTATTAAAGCATTGAACGTCAGCATCCCTGTTGGAGAGCCACTCTGCTCTGCGCTCCAGGGGCCAGGACTTCACTGTCTATCACCTCCCTCATATCAAACAGAAACTCTTATCTGTGTGAGTGTCTGCATATTTGCACATTGATCTTCAAACTGGAGCAGTGAATGAGCATGCATTAAAAGGAACACTGTGAAGCAAAATGAGGGAATTTGTCAAAAATCCACTGCAATTAAAGCCTTTCCGTGTAAAGCCTATCAGTGTACAATGCTGAAAAGAAGTATTTCCCCCTATAGATTTCTTTTGTTTTATGCATTTGTCACAGTCAAATGTTTCATGTTGTCAGGCTAATATGTTTATCAAACAAAGATAAACAGAGTGGACACCGGAAGCAGTTTTCTAATGGTGATTTCATTTTATGAAAAGAAAAAAACCATCCAAACCAACCTGGGCCTGTTTAAAAAACTGAATACCCCCTTAAAGCTAACTGGTTGTGCTTCTATTTAGAGCAACAGTTGCCTTTAAGCATTTGTAACAACTGGAAATTATTGTTTTACATCACTGAGAAGGAATTACGACCCATTCATCTTTGCAGAACTGTTTGTAGATCAACCACATTAAAGATGTTTTAACCATGAATCTGCATGTACAAGATCGTACCACAAAATTGAATTCACTGTTGGACTTGCTGGTGTGCTTTACGCTATTGGTCCAGCTTGAGCTTAAAGACACAATCTGACGGCAGAACATCCACCTTCAGAGTGCTCTGCTAGACCACAAAATGTATGATTCAGTCAGGTATAGCAAGTTCTGGAGAAACAAAGAAGCCCCAAACCATGACACTGCCTCTACCATGTTTGACTGTTGGTAAGATATGCTGTGTTAGCTTTTCAGCAAGAGTAACACCACTACAAATCCTTGTCTCTTTTATCTACATAGTATTTTCAAAAATGTTTTGGGGGAAAGATGAGAGGTCCACAGAGCATAGGATGTGGTTCTAGGTTATTTGGTTACCTCAAGGTCTCTTGCAATAATTCACGTAAAAAATTTTTTTAAAATTTTGTAAATATGGATAATTCTTTCTTTCACACCACTGTATTTAAACTTAATTTTGTTACTATTGCCTTTAATCAGCTCATAAATATATAAACGTAAGAAACAGACGCTTCCCCTTGTGCCACTTCCACAAACTATACTCAGAACCTGGCTTACCGCGATTTTTTTCCTGCCAAATGAGCCCACACATATTACAACAATTACAGCACCAGATCCAAATCAAGTCCCAAAGTTCTCTGGCTTAATCACCATAGCACTGCTGCCTTGTGACACATTGTGCATGATGAAACCCAGCAGGGAGGCAGACTGGAGATGAAGGAGGAGAGCAGAATATAAGTGTTGCAACAGACATGAGAAGGGAACAAACGCCACGCCTTCTATCGTGCTCGATCTGACCCTGAGAGCATTTTGTTCCCTTTAAAAGAGTGTGACCCGTGCGTGGGAGGGGATGAATCAGGAGTGTTTTGTTGTCTTGTGCTTAATGAACTAAAAAGCTGCTCATCTCTAGGGCTGTAGTTACGCAGATTTCATCACGTCACCTTGGGAGACGAGTGGCAGATAAGATTCTGTGTAGGTGCCAATTTCTCCGTCCTTCCCAACGGAAAAAAAAAAATCCTTAATAATTGCAACTTCTCATGTATCGTCATACACTCCAGCAGTCCCACCCTGTCCCCTGAGTTCAGTTTCTCTAGAGGCCACCTCAGAGAGGGCGACCAGGTGCAGAGGGGAAATCACCTTTCTACACCAATTACATCAGCCAATGATGAGTCACTGTTAGCTGCAGCAAGGATCATAGATCAATTTGTGGTGTGAAGTCACAGTCTGCGCACCAAACAGAGCCCAATGTACCTGTTAAGAGCTCAGAGTGAAGTTTTGTCACTTCAAACGGCCCTTTTCTCCTTTTACCTTGTGGTAAGGGCTCATAAAAGCACAAAGGCACCATAACCGATGATTTGATGGTAAAATCTAATTAGCCTGTACATCTGGGTGAGTTATGTGAGCACGTTTCCCCACTAATGATTTAGGTGCTCTTACTTTTATTGGGTTATTCTGTCTGGCATCCTGTGGAATTTCCTGCTGGACGTTTAGGGTGGTGTGGGTTGCACTTAACAGGTTGGATCAAATAGCATGAAAAGCATTAAAACGCTGTAAAATGCAGTAGCGTTCAGAATTTAATCGAGAAACATTTTCAACAAAGTTTTGCAAAACAGCTTGTAACAGAGTTAGAAGTGGACAGCATTCTGTGTTTCTGGGGAGGGTGCCATAAAAGCACAGAAATAAATCAATGCAAGCCAACATGCATAAACAGTTAAACAATAACAATGTGACAAAGGCAAAGAAAAAAAAAAAGAAAAAAAAACATTTTCAAAGCATCCACTTATTGTGAACTGACCTTGAGTCAGTTTGCTTTCTAACTTTGAGGTCCTCGATCAAATGCCTTCATCTGCTGCCATGGGTTTCCTAAAATAGATGTGTGGCACAAAGGCAGACTGGAAACAGAGGCCAGCTTTCAGTATTTCTACTGATCAATGTGCTCATCTCTGCTGGAAATCATTGATTCACTGTTTGTTTCAAATTGACCATGGACCTGTTGCACAATGATGGGGTTGCATATAAACAACTCTGCTTATGTCCCAATTTGTACATGTTGTCCTTCTTTGTGTCTAATTGCGAAGGAAATCACCCAGTATAAGTATATTCCACACCAAGGTAAACTACAGTGCTTGAGTGTCAGTCAATTTGCAGTAACATAGATCAAAAAGATAGCATATATATGATGCT